ATATATATATATATATATATATATATATGTATTATTTATTTATCTATTTGTTTATACCCATATACCCATGCTGGTGTCTGTCTTCCTTCTCGCGTATAAATACAGAGACAGCGACCTATTCTTTGCTCTTCGTTGCTTCTCGTCCGCTAACCAACGCGGCTTCTGTGCTGTACATGCACACTCGGAGCGCCAGCACATGGCAGGGAGGCCGCTAGACAGATATGCAAACTGCCCTGCCAGCATATTTAAACAGAACCTACTGCAGTGCCAGCAGCCGGAAGCAACAGACCTCGTGTTGCTCCATACAGCCGTCAGGTTAATAAATATGTGCAAGGCAGTGTACATGCAGTGTACATGGAACTGGTCGTACACACCTTTGGCAGTATAATTAGTTAATTTATGTAGCTCGCTTTGCCGGGGCGCCTTCACTTTTTCTTATAGTGGAGTGTGCTGATACATACACTGCTGCAGCAAGCAGCAGGGCTGAGCTTCAGGTTATGCATTTTTTCTAAAAGATATCAATACTAGCAACAAAGCAAAGCTGTTTGTGCCCCCATAGCGGGTCAGTCATACTCGCAAAAACCCAGGGTTTGTATTTTCAAATACCCCCCGGGAATCATATCAAACGAAATTTATCAGGAGGGGGTGGTGCCTCTCTGACTTTCTGCGCACAAGCGTAGGGCGGTTTTCCCCTGCACTTGTTGTTGTGACAGTAGTAACAAATCGATTCTAAAGAAGCATTTTTATTCTTTAGCATGGCTCTTTTTTAGTTCAGTTTGGCAGGCAGGTGCGTGTGTTTCTTCTCCCTACATGCGCGGAGAGAACTGCCAGCAACGGACTGCCTGTGCTCAGTGTCCAAGCTTGAGACTGGCAGTGCCTTCATAAAGGAAAGCGCAGATCAAACTGAGGAGGGAGGAGAGAAGGGTTATAGAAGCAACGACGATCCCCACCACTCCGGCGTAGCCCATGTTGCCGAACAGGGCCATTAAGACTGACCAAATGAAGTAATGCGCAAAATTAACCGACATGAAATCCAAGTGGAAGGAGGCGATGTGCGACATGACCGTCATTGCCCCCATGACGAACGGAGTCCACACATCTATAAAGACCGAAGGAACGAAGGAGAATAGCTGCATTCGCCAGCTGGATTTGTTCACATCTGCTAGAGGATCATCTCCAATTGAGATCGACGGGGAAGTAGACGAAAGCTGGAAACACCAGAGAAGAATCGTCAACACCCCACTCACAAAGCCCACCCACCGCGTAACGGTTGCAAGCGGCTCAAGAGAAGCCATTTTATGCTTCTTCTCAGTTCTTTTTCCGCCGTCTACCTGCACTCAACACCTCCGCATTCATGATTGTGCACGTGCATTCGCCAACTTTTCAATAACCGCACCCGACCTGAGTTTAGAAGGTGCAGTTCATCTGTGCGCGAATCAATTTTTATCTCAGCGTTTTTTTTAGAAGGTGAGATGCAGGCTTTCAGCAAGGCAATAAGCCTGATCCATGTTGGCGTGTCTGCTGTGTCTAGTGGGTCGAGCACATGGAGAAATGGGCGTGACCGCCTATGTTTTTCTGAATATTTCCAACATTTTAAAGTTAAATACTGCACTTTTTGGACCCAGGGGTGCTACTGGCTACTGCAAGAAGGGATGTTGGCCAACCAGCAGGCAGGAGATCTATTCAGAGGTGGAGCAAACATCGCACCTTACGATGAAGTGCACTTTAGTTCACGCTATCACCCATTAATCCCAAATTTACGTTTTATATTGATATTCACAATTTTTTGCTCCTCGCTGGAGCCTGTTGCCTGATGCAGCCGGGTCACTTCCACAGCTACGAGACCCCAGAAGCATCCAGTGCACGAAACTTGCGGGGGGCCGAGCCCTTCCTTGAAATCTGGTTGCAGCTTCAGTTTCATTGCGTAGCTGGTAACCAGTAGAACTCAGGTGCGGCAGCTTCAAACTCTCTCGACTAATAAATAGGTATTTCAAATCAGGAGCTAGTCGGTCAAGTGAAATTGAGTTCAGCTCGCTCGGGGCACTCCTGATGAAACGTATAGGCATGTCCACTACGAAAAAACTACATAGCAAGCAAGTCCAACTGAGTCTCAAAGTTGCATTTGCACCAGTTTTAGCGAATACGACGCAGACTCACAACCAAGCCAAAGCCCAAACCTGCAAGGGTTGCACTACCGCACTGTAAATGTTACAAAAAGCCGTGGTCGTTACTGCTAGCCAGCTCCTTTTAAGAGTATATACCTATGGCCGCAAACTGTATCACAATCAGGCCTCAGCTCTTTGTAGTTGTCTATGCGGAGGACTCCCGATGCTAATCAGCAAGTCGGAAGTGTGGGAAACTTCATGCTCAGATGCATCATGTATTCATGTGAACAAAAAGGCCAACAACCCCCTGTTATTTCTTTCTTTCTGCTGATCCATACTGCTGTGACTTCAAATAAAGAGAGTTCCATCCACGGCAGATGCACTCGAGGGCGGTAAGTGTGCGCAAGTCGAAAGGCGGAAGATTTGATAGAGAACATCGAAATCTCGTCAGATGGCCTCTGACATTAAAGCCCAGCTTACGGGTAAACAGCCAAATCCATCCTCACGGACACGATGCAAGTCAATTACATTCAAGCATGTAATCGATTCTGCACAGTTTCTTGGAAAAGATGCCGCAACCCTGTTTAAACACCCTCAACGTTGCATAATTGGGCGCAATTGGTATTCATTGATGCGCATTTCCAGCATCCCTGGGTAACAGCATCAAACATTCTCGTCGTTTAATACTCCCTTTCTAAGGCTAGAAATAAGCAAATTGATGCGCAGTGAGTCGAACCTGCTCTCCAACATCGAGTTGAAATCTCCCAACATGCAGAAACAATGGCGGGCCACGACTGGCCGATACACTTGGAAACGGAGGCTTAACTGTTCCTGGAAAGTAACCTTTGAACGCTTGCATGAGACAATGTGACATGACGCCGAATACATGTGACCATGCTTGCACAAAATCTCGTTAGCAACTACATTGGTTGCAGGAGGCTGTAGAAACTGCCACCAACTCTCCCCAGTGTCTCCCCTTGCTCTCCCGAAGCACACTGGACCGATGGCATTCAACGCTCATGCAGGGAGGTCGAACACCCTAGTTACATTTTTCGGGGCGCTATTGGCATGCGGCAATATAAAATATGGTATTTCCGTCCCCTGGCCTTTCGTCCTCGCTGCAGATTCGTTTCAAAATATGTGGAATGTGTGCGCAATATGTGATAAAGGCACCAAACTGTACTTGGGGTTCTCACGGCACCGGACCACTTTCCCACAATTGAACAAGCTGACGCAACGAGGACCATCACTTCAAACTATGGCCGTCTAACTGGGGTTGAGCGGCAGTCGTAGTAGTGACGTCGAAGTTCGTAAGCGCTGAGAGCAGGGACAACCTTGGTAGAAGAGAACACGACGCCTTGCCGGTCGAGAAGGACAATGATCTGTTATACGTCATCGCATTTTCCGCTAGTCACAAAGGCGCGTAGTGAATGCTAGCATGAAGCTAGGGTTTTGTTCAGCTGGCTGCCCTTCCGGTCATTGCTAAGTCTTTGGGCTAACTAAGCAGTGACAATGAACCTCTCTCCGCGTTAAGTTACAAACATTCGTTGTGCTACAGTGATGCTGCCCCTTGTAGACCGCTTGACTAATTGCAAGCGGCCAACTGGTCTTGACGTGCGGACACGCGGGAGCAGGTAGCACGCTGCACCAGCGGTTGCTGGTTGGGTGCATGAATCTTGGAAAGGTTATCATCTTCATTTGTTGTTGTGCAACTCGAGTTCTGTGCCACTATGGAGATGTGCAAGACCTGCTGTACCCCATGTCGGCGGTAAGATAATTCTACCTCTGAGAGCTATATGATGACTTCCCAAGGTGTATCTACCCTTGTGAAGATTGAACGGATTGAGAAGTATTCGCGGATCATGTAGTAATCTTCCCGTGCACTTCCGTGAGATGCCCATCTGGCGTCCTCATCATTCGTGGCTGGAAGGCCAGGCCATGTTGCTAGTACAGCAGCACTAGGAGAAATTAGTCATGTGAAATTCACATTAGAAATCCTCGTTCCTAATGAGCCAGGAACAATAGCGAGATATCCTAGCTGTCGTTAGTACGGGCCAGTCAGAACGTAGTGAAATTCCTCTATTCCAAGGAATGCTAGTCACGAGGGAAGCAACGCAGCAGGATAGAATTGACTCCCGTACAAAATTTACCTTCAAACACATGAGACTGTCGGCATCCATGTAGAGGCTCACTAAAGGGATGCCCGATCGAGTAGGGGCTCCATCTCCTGAAAAACGGTAGATGACCGTGCTCTATGGAAAAACTTCATTTGGATGAACTGTAGCGTGCCTACGCCCAAGCCGCCTTTACTTCCTTTGAAAGGCTTTTACTTCTCCTATTTCTGTCGAGGTCCGCGAAATTATGAGACCTGTAGGTCGAGCATCGTCCTTGCTTACCCCCGCAACTTTCCAATGCTTACGAGATGGAGCATCAATGGCTCTGCTAAGCGAGACAAAAACTTCCCCCAAGAAGGGTCTCTCCTCGCAGAAAAGCCTTGTTGTCTGGATTTTGCCTAGCAGCCCCGTTACTCCACACAAACGGCTGATATCACACAGAGTTTTGCGCGATACATACGGCAAATCTCTGGAGATCGATATCATAGCTGCACTTTGCCCTTTCCATGTAAAATGAGCAGCTCGTACTCTCGATTCGCATGTCGCTCACCCATCTGTTTGCTATTTATTCCCTGACAGGTCTGTGCATACGCTGTTAGAACATTTGTCGTTCCTTCCCTTTCTTAGAATTGCCAAACGCTCAACCACTGTACT